TGCCCACTGACAGAGACTGGCACACTGCTGGCCCCGCTGCCCAATGTCCACTGACAGAGACGGGTACACTGACTCAACAAACATGAGACAATCAGACCTACAAGCAAGTGTCTTTCTGGACCTGGCCCTCCGACTGATCGACTGGCACACCTACACCCCCGAGAGACGCAGGCTTCACACAGCCGGCCACTGGACTGGACCCGACCAGACTGGACTCTTGCTGCACTCAGATGGGCCCGTAGTGCTGCTGTGGCCGTGGAGCAGGGCACTACGACATTGACTGCGCTGGGCAGGGAAGCTAGATGTATTCACACACTGCACTACGCAATTGTATTTACTGCACTACAGTGCTATTCTAGAGTCGCACTGCACATGTGAACTGCACTAATTAACAATCCCTAATCATCATCATCATCATCTTGCTATGGTAGGCCTCTCTGCTGCTGTATTCGGGTCTGTCACTGCTCTAGCACCTCGACACCCGTGAGCTCCTTCATCGGGTCTGAAGAGTCTGGCTCGTCTCCGATACAGCATGTGCAATAAGACTGATCATTCCTCTCCTTCTTCGTGTTCGTGGGAATTGTGATGATGATGATGATGTTAATGACATTACCCTCCCAAGTGGGAAGTTTTAGTCTTCCGATCTTCGGCACGTGAGACCCAGAAACGTTTTCTTTTTTAATCCTGTTTGTTGTGTTGGACGTGTTGGGCTCCCCTCCTCCCGGTCCGGTTCTTACAGGAGCCTGCGTGAGTCTGGAAGGCGGGATGACATCACCCCCCATCCCCCTTTCCCATGGGGAGAAGGATCGCTGTGCGCTAGTCCGTTCTCCCCACCGGAGGGGTGTGTGTGCCCTGCGGGAAACAGGCTGGAAGGGATTGCAATAGCTTGACCTCTGCAGGTCCCCCCCACAGTAAAGAGAAGATCACTTTCTTGGCCATATACAATGTCTCGTATTAGGAATTTGTCTTTTCGCATACCCCAGCTTGCTCTCCATGAGACACACAGACGGAGAGAAGCTTGGGGTCAAAGCGCAGGGTCAGCCATTTATACAGCACCCCTGGAGCAGTTGGGGTTAAGGGCCTTGCTCAGGGGCCCAACGGAGTAGGATTCCTCTGCCAGCCCCGGGATACGAACCAGCAACCTTCCAGCCACAGAGCCACCGCGCTGCCCCAAGGTCACATAGCGAAGGTCGCGTGACCTCTGCCGGGTCCCCAAAAGCGAAGGTCGCGTGACCTCTGCCGGGTCCCCCCCCACAGCGAAGGTCGCGTGACCTTTGCTGCAGCCAGGTCCCCCACAGTGAAGGTCACGTGACCTCTGCTGCAGCCCATCCCACTGCGGGCCTTTCAGACGTCTCCCTTGCACTACAGGTTCACCACTGCGCGGCTCCTCGTTTTGCACAAACGGATTCCGAAGCAATACTGCTCGTTAAGGTTGTGACCGACGAGCCGGAGAGACTTTTCGCCCTCCCCTCTCGCTTGACCGTGCTGTTGTTGTCGTGTGTGTTTTTCTAAGCGATCGGCGTACTGGTTTTGATAAAGAGTTTGTATACTGGTCCAACTATTGTCCCCTGTATTGAATCAATATCGATGGGACTGACTTCTTCACTGTAATGGTCTCCCGTTTTTTTTACTTGTTTTGATATGTATTTAATAAAAGTGTTTCAGTGATGTGAAATGAGTCTGTTCCTGGTGTCTGCTTTCACTAGTGTTTGTCTGAAAGGAAACTAGCTGACGCACAAAGCCTAGAGCCAAGCCAGGCCTGCTGGTGGAAAACAGGCCCCACCCCTCCTCCTGCTGGTTGCTGCCGAGTCCTCGGTTTGCTCATCAAGCCCCTCCCTCTTAGTGCGAAGAAGTCTTGGACCCCCCAGTTAGAGATTCAATGTCATGAAAACCAGCAGCTGTGCCCAATTCAGATGACTGACCTCTGGGGGGCGGGGGGCGGGGCTGGAGTCTTCAGATCTTTCCTCCTGCTTGAGAGGTCAATTTAACAATTTACCCCATTAACTTCTAAAATGGACACATACAGGCTTTGTTGGAAGATCACACAAGACTTCACTTCATTCAGGGTGCAGCTTGACTCTCCTGGGAGTCTAGTTAATGTGCTACAAGCATGTAGTTCAGCTGGGTAGCTGCATCAGAAGGCTTGACAGCCGAAACGTTGTTTTCTCTCCTCTTTTCAGCCTTGAATAAACGTTACTTGTTCCCCTACAATCATGCAGCTGAGTAATTAATTGGACCTGGAGTGGAATAAATCCCAAACGACACCAGGCCATGCAGGACTGAGCTGTTTGACACGTCTGCATGGAGCACATGAAGAGAGGCCACTGTCTGCAGGGGTCTTGCTGAGCCGAGCCGATCACCGGCTCTTCCCCGCCCTTTCGCTGCTGGAGGTGTTAAAGATCTGTGGGACCCTTCCTGGGCTGGAGCTGCGCCCCCTTTCCTAAAGGTGCTGAGCTCTTGCACAACCAGCAAACCACTAAGGAGTCCTTTTTGAATTGATGTCAGTTCTGCAACTGAACACGTCCTCTTTTCAAGAGTGGGAGGCAATCAGAGGGGCCTTATGAACCTGACTCAGGGGCTCAATTCAGCAACCGAGGGTCCTGCAGAAAAGCACGAGGACACTGGGGTCACCAGAGGGTTCAGAGCCCTTTGAACACTGGGGAGCGCTGAACCAGTCTGCACTTCCGCTGTGTGAAGAATCTCTCCCTGCAGGGTAAGAACCAAACTGCACAGCTTGTCAAATCTCACAGGTGAGGGTGCAAGACAGGATGTGAAGCAACAATGCTCTGCTTGCTGGCAACAGGCTCGTGTTGGAAAGCTTTATTAGAGATCCGATTGGAAGTAAGTACAGTAGTAACACACTGCGCACACTGTCCCCTCCTATCAAACCAAAGTCTCTCAATCCCCCAGAAACACCCTGTTCCGCCTACTGTTTGACCATCTACCTCAGGCCCAGGAAAGACAAATACAGCTGTGGTGTTGGTGCTGCCTCCTTTTATGTGCATGGTGTTGTGTCCTACTTGAATCACACCTAGGGCAAGGATCTCAAGCGCAGTTTATGGAGGTCCTGGTGTCTTGCGACTTTTATTCTAACCTGCTTAGTCAATTAAACAACTGAACCTCATTGTTTCCAAATTAGATGTGTGAAGGGTATTTTTTTCCCCTAAAGTCTTTAGCACTTGATTAGATGAGATATTCATTTCATTAAAGGTACAGTGACCTGTAAGTCACCCATCTTAGAAGTTCTACAATTAGGCAGTTACTCAAATAGTTAGGCCAGCTCTCACTACCAAACGCCCCAGGAATGAGTCTGACACCCCTGATCTAGAGCTTCCAGTCTACAACCTTTGATCATGAGGCGCCTTTAGACTTTTGGAGCCGATTTATCTTGTTACTGAGAATGGGTGGGGAAACGAGGCAGGACCTCCCTGAGCTGCTGATTACCCTGCCTCCCGCTCCGGCTATCATGTCAGGTCTCCTGTCGGCCGACTGCTTCCAGCGCGAGAGAGCGCTGGACACGCCCCCCCGTGTGACCAGTAGCTCTTTCTCCATCCCTGCACCCGTGATCACGACTACTGTGACAGGCTCTGCAGCACAGAGCCGTTATTTGTGGTATCAGGATAGATATATTTTCCTCAGCTCAGATTTCAGCAATTCCTCCAACAGCCACAAGGGGGCGAGGGTGTGAGGCGAGACACCCTTACAGGAGTTGGCAGAGGTGGCAGAAGGAACGACTGGCCCACCTGCTTAAGGGCTCAAGCGGTTCTGCGAGTCCTAAGACTCTCGGGCTGGAAAAAGAGTGCCTCCGGGCTGGAGAGAGACTCACCAACCAGATCGTCGATGCTGTTAACACGCGTGCACACCGAAGCAATGAAAATCAACATTCCAGAGTCATCACCAGAAGTGATCTGCTTTCTCAGCACCAAGTTCGTTCCCAGGGTTAAGTCTGGGCGCCTGGAAAACTGGCTCTTGTGGAATATCCTGTTTTCCTACAGACCGGCTCTGTGGGAGAATCCAACTCTCCCTCTTACAGCTCATGTGTGAGATGGATTAGCGGGCACACCCCAGGGGTTCTGACATCGCTGGTCCCAGTCTGGGTTCTAGCACCAGCCCACTGGGACCGGCGTCCCCCGAGGGGGGTGCACAGAACTGGCCAGAAGCCTCCAGGGATGGGTGGGCTCGATTCGGGTGCTGTGCAACAGCGCCGCCCCGGTGGCGAGTTGGGGGAGGGAGCCTGCGATGGGGCAGCAGTGTCGGCGAGAGGTGTGCTGCCTCGCTGTGCTGCGGGGCACCACGCTCTGCGCACGTCAGGCGTGCGGTTTCTCACTCTGAAACTGAGGAGGTCTCAGGGAGGTGACAGGATTCCCACAGACGCCTTCGAATTGGTAGCAAACAAAAGAGGATTGTCACAAATCTGGGCCGAGCCTGGTACTGAAAGAGCCAACCTTTTTTTTTTTAAATGACAAACAGATATAATAAATTATGGGAATCACTGTTCCCGATAATACAGTGTTGCTTTCCAGACTGTTTCCTGGAAACTCTTCAAGGTGTTACTGGATCCCAATAACACTGGCAAGGCAGCGCCTAGTTGAGGTCACAGAGCAGAGCGAGGTCGTGCAAGGGCGTGTGAACTTTGACCTGCACCGCTGGTCTCCACGCTGCCCTCTGAGGAATCAGCCAGTGCCCCGCCCCCCACTGCTCTATGACATCACCGCAGATTGGTAGCAGATGCTGCTTTCTGATTGGACGACAGTATAACTGTCATAATTATGGGAGGCACTGCTCCCGATAATTACTGCTTACATTGGTAACGAGCTCATTATTACTTGGCAATAAAAAAAAGAATCAATAGCAATCGCTGATAAATTAACACTAATTAAAGACACACCCAAACAAGACAGGTGCTGCTGCCACTGCCAGACAACAGAAAAACAACTACATTAAAGGGAGCTTCATACACCCCACTAACACACAGATGGGAGGGCGCCTGTCAGTCGGTCAGATCGTCAATGAGACAGTGTCAGGCTGTCAGTCAGTCAGTCCGTCAATGAGACAGTCAGTCAATCGGTGTGAGCCTGTCAGTGTGTCAGTTAGTCAGCTTGTCAATGAGACAGTCAGTGAGTCAGTGTCAGCCTGTCAGTGTGTCAGTCAGTCAGATTGTCAATGAGACAGTCCGTGTGTCAGCATCAGTGAGTCAGTGCATCAGTCAGTATCAGTGTCCGTGTGTCAGCATCAGTGCATCTGTCAGTATCAGTGTCAGTGAGTCAGCGTAAGTGTTTCAGTCAGTATCAGTGTCCGTGTGTCAGCGTGTCAGTCAGTGTCAGTGTGTCAGCGACAGTCAGTATCTGTGTCCGTGTGTCAGCATCAGTGAGTCAGTGCATCAGTCAGTATCAGTGTCCGTGTGTCAGCATCAGTGCATCTGTCAGTATCAGTGTCAGTGAGTCAGCGTAAGTGTTTCAGTCAGTATCAGTGTCCGTGTGTCAGCGTGTCAGTCAGTGTCAGTGTGTCAGCGACAGTCAGTATCTGTGTCCGTGTGTCAGCATCAGTGAGTCAGTGCATCAGTCAGCGTCAGTGCGTCGGTCAGTATCTGTGTCTTTGTGTCAGCGTCAGTG